CACTCGTGACAAGACGAAAAAATCATCTTTCCCTTTTTCTTTACCGAGCTCAAAACTTACCATCTCCCTTATTTCTATCTACAAACCTTACGCTATCGACATTGCTGATACTTGCAGTATGCAAGACGCGTGCCATATGAACTTCGTAATAGACTTCCCTTACCGTGGAGTCTCTGTGGCTCTGTGTTAGAGAGCATCGGAGCGCGGAATCCGAAGGAATCCGTCTTGTCACGCTCGAGAGAAGACAAAAAAAAATATCTTTCTCAATTAACTACCTGTAGTTCGGTGGTTTGCCAGCAAAACACTGATCTAATTCTTGATGTTTGACGGGTTTAATTCATTATGTAAATCCTTAAGTAAAAGCAGTTACACGAAGAACGAGAAAAAAAAAGAGCCTGGATTTAACCACGATGAATTCAAATTGATTTCTGTTGATACTGAAATAAATTCGAGGGATTTAGTTTTTTCGTTTTTGTTTTCGAAATGAATACAATTCATATTAATTTTAGCTCATCTCTCAATTGTTTTCAAGGCTATTTAAGGTTAAGTGTACAGGATATAATTTTGGATTGAAGCAACAACAAGCGGCTAATCTCAACGCTCACCTCAAAAATCATGAAAAAAATTTGAATAATATAATTGCACCAATTAAGCTTCTGTATTTTACCAGGTCTGTATCAATCTTTTCAATCGACAAAATACCAAGCTCATCTTTTATTTTCATCAAAGAAAAAAGCTAAATCCTGGTCGCACCCCCTAAACTTTAATATATTTGAATAACAATTCTTATTCCCTGAGGGGTTTGTGAGGAAGAAAAGCTACTACTTTTTTCTTCGGCAACATCTATTTTCTAAACTTATTCTCTTAAAAGAAACTTTGACAAAATGAGTCCTCTAAAATATTTCAGTTTTGTCAAGAAAATTTAGACAAGATTTCCGCAGAGTCCATCCTTCATTCAGTTCTTGGACTAAGAAAACAATGGCGAAAACGATTGAATGCCGTTGGGATTATGGCTTTGTTTTGCAACAGCACGAGGCTATGCGGAAATCTTTCTCAAACTTGAACAGTCCTAAATATGAAATCAAGTGATTCATCAGAAACATCTTTTGCTTAAAGGTTGATTCCAGTTTTCGAAAATTACAACCTAATTTTTTTGGGGGTTTTATAGTATCGTAAAGAGAAGGTTCAAACTGCGAAGATAAATTTTTACAACTTCTTTGCCATGGTAAATAAGTACTAAAAACAAGCCATATTTAATGGCACATTTTTTTTTCAATTATTTCAACTCAAAATCCTTAGAGTTTCCATGAACTACGTCTTTCTCATGAAGGCGTTAAGGTTACAGCATGAAGCTGGTTTATTGAAACGCACAGAATAATTCTAATATAAATTTGATAAGAATAGACTTCAAGGTTTTCTATGAATGAAGTTATTAATTTGAATTAAAATTAACAGTGCATTTAACTTATCAGCAATCCAACAAAGAATTGTAGAAAAAGACATTTAATTGAATATCTCTTTTGGATGACACTCTTAAAAAAAGGTAAGTGTTACTTGTTCATTCAGTGATCTCAGAACATTGACCTCATCACGAACCGAAGGGAAACGAGTTCTAACAAAAAATACTGACAATTTTTCGGGTTTTGAAGGTTATTTTGAACAATTAGAATCCAAAGCTGTAACTGAATTAAGTAAAAGAACCGTGACTGACAAACAAAATCAGCTGTAGGGGCTATAAAATTTATCAGTTTGCCTCCTCTTTTCTCTTAGTTCAGTAATCTTTGTTCATTTTAATTTAAGGTAGCCTAAGAATTATGTATACCCCGTCAAATGGTTACGAATTTTTAGCATTCTCTACGAAAAGCCTGCCAAAAAAAATGGGATTAACTGGCTCCCTCTCTCTATTATTGTCAAAGGAGGATTTGACATACTAAACCGTTACTAATATCTTTACGATGTTCGCGAGTCATGTTTTGGTGAAAAGTGTTTTGCCATCAACAGATACAAATTTGTAGAACTAATTTATAAAAAAAAAACCAACAATAACAACATAAAAAAAACAGTGCTATAAACTGCTGAAAACCACCTCGGTCAGAAATCCAAGAGATCATCATCAAAGATTTTGACTTATTTCCTTGTTTGCATTTTCCTGAATTTTTATTCTTTTTTTTTATCGCAGTAAAAGACATCCGTTAAATCTAGGTTGGAGCGTTCAATGGAGACCAGAATTACAAGCGCAGATAGTTAATTGGTCGAAAATAAATAGTAATGATGGTGATAAGGCATTGGAGCGCGGAATCTGAAGGTCTGAGGTTTGATTCCTCATGAGAACTCAGCATTTTTTCTTTGTCCCACGCTCGTGACAAGACCTAAAAACATCTTTAATTTCTGGCCTCTACTTCAATACTGCGCAAAAAATTTACCATTTTTCCTCAGTATTCAATAATGATAATTATAAAATAACTAACCTTGTTAAAAATATCCTGGTTTCCTTTGCATCCTTGAAATTCTTCATACCAGGATACTTTCATACTGTATTTGATAATGTACTAAAGATAGGGAAGAGAGAAACATCTTTTCAGTACATACCAACCATCTTTATCCAGGAACTTTTTAGTCTTTATGATAAGGATGATCTATTTTCGGACCTAAAAAGTCAATTAGAGCCTGAAGGTGTTTCATTGAACGAGACAACTTAAAAGTTTCTTGCGACGATCGAGCAATTAGACATCTGATCAGGTTCCAAGCTCATTTTGAATGTTGTCACTTAAAGTGTGAGTCGAAATGCTATAACAATCTCACTCCTAATTTTTTGTGGAGATCGGGAGTAAGGGACATAACAAGCGCGCTAATAGGCAAATTAAAGATGAAAAAGTCATAAGTAGAAATAGCTTATCGATAGTATCAAAATAATTACAGAGGTGGGAGACGCGAGCAGTATGACTTTCCTGCTGTTGCCGTAAAAATCGCGCGCATGTATGGTTCAGTAAGAAGTGACTGTCATGGCGGCTGCTATTCAGGAGTTCTACTTCATTTTACTTTGTGCGATATATAGTTTCTTTTTTAAAATTTAACTTTCAAGGGTAGCAACAGAAAACACTAACGGCGTATTTCAATAAGAAATGTATCTTTACACTGGTTATTTACCTTAGAAGATAAGTTGTAGCAAAGTGATACTTTCAATCCTCAATCTCGAAGCTCAAGTAAACCACTGGAATCAGCAACCTCATTGAAACAAACGCAACCTTGATAAAACTGACGATATCCAGGGTTATAACGTTGAAATTATGACTTTCTTTGCACCAGAAAAGCTGCAAAAGACGCCATAACTTCTCGAAGCTCGTGAGTTCTTTCCACGTGCAAGACTAGTAGCAAACATGAATATTGATTTTCAAAGGTATTTGTTATTCAAATGAGTTTAGCCACTTCGAGAAACGAACAGGAAATTATCGAGACAAGCTTTACGGTTAGTTTCGTCAATCGTAAAATAAGCTAACGGCTGCTTCAAACTCAGTGAAGCCCAGCAGAGCCCCAAGGGTTAAATATTATCCTAGAAGAAGCTTTTTCTTTTTTCAAAATTCTTTTCCATCAGCTAACTGAACTTCCCACCATCTCCCTCTGATCTGCTTTTGCCTTAAGATTTCGAATTTGTGCGCCCCTGTCGATGAAGGAGAAACAGCTGTTTGTAATCACTTTTCCATCGTTTAGAGAAACGCATCGACACTCAATATCGTTAAGCTACTGCCTATCCCACGGGCCGTTTTCGCTAGTTGCTTCACAAACACGTGGAAGGAGGTGCCCCACTCTGCATTTTAACTGTTGGTTTCCAGGGCCCTAACCTTTTTAAGCAAACTGCGTGCATGATGGAGATATCGATCTACGATAGTACGGTAGGGTACACTTAAAATCACAAAGGGGACATTGGTACCCCCGGTTGACGTCAAGGCATGAAATGATCGTGGGATCAGAATTACCCGGAATTCTGGCGTTTTGGGGTAAAATTCAAATGCTTCGAAAATCATGGAATCACTGACAAAAAAAATATCCTTGGTTAAGAGCATATATAAGTTTTAATCTTCAATAAAAATGGGCCCAATAACAACGAATGAACGTTTAATAAGGGCAATAATATATAATGTAGTAGAACTAATACATACAACCATTTAATATGGTGAGTATGCAGGTTTTTAGAACAATGGAGCTGCCCACGGTGCAAGGCTGGTCGGAAAATTATCTTTCTATAAAATATAGCATTAAATAAGACAAATTGCTTCTTCAAAACTTGCATGTTATTCGAGTTGTGTTCACACATCCTCCATCATACAGTAAATAGTTTGAACCCGGGGGTAACATGTGATAGTGTGGTGTGATCGCCCGGGTGAGTGTAGTCCTGAGAAGGACTGTTGTCGGTAGTGGTGACTGACTTTTCGACAACCTGAGCGGAAGTCATCATCAGAGTCAAGTGACTTCCGCTCAGGTTGTCGAAACTTCAATGACCACTACTGACAACACTCCTTCTCAAGACTGTTGGGACAAACAGACTACACTATCACATTTTCCATTTTCCTAATTACCCTGATCTTCCCTTGCTTGCCTCGCTTTTTCGGTTATTCCCAAAAACTGCCTGCATGCAACAGGCATCGCCCTCTCTCAGTTGGAAATTGCTCATAACATGAACTCTGGATTCTGGATATTCCAAAACCTCAGTCCCTCGTACAACTTGTAGACAGCTTGTCTCTCATACAAAACGTTTTACAAAAGGTGTAGCGCTAAGGTGTGTTCTAGACACATACAGTATCTTCCTAACATTGGAAAGCCATAATAGCTCTACAAAGTTTTATAGGTGGAAAACGGAAATTTAAAACTTTTGCTCTTTGCCAATAAAATAATCAACATGGAGGCAGGGGAAGGGAGAGAGGGGGTGGGTAGGGAATCTAGAGTCTACTTCTTTCTGTACCCTGTTCTCTCCCTCCCTCCCCTCCCCCTCCCCCCCCCCCACTGCATCCTTGACTCCAATCTCCTGTGCCAAATTTTGGTTTAACAGGTCAAATACATAAACATTTGCAAGAACTATTTATTTTTTTAATATTGCACAACACTTCCCTTCTCATTCTTTGATCTTTCCTTTGTGAATAAAACTACAATTTGCCAAATGACAGTTTTGAAAAAGGTTCAGCTCAGAGCCATGCTTTAGTGCAAAACACTTCAGATCTGTTTTTGTTTCCTGACCTCTTAGGGGTAGGCATTTACACAACGTCTAACCCAAACCACGGTTTTAAGCAAGCAGTGAGCCTCAGGTATTCTCCATAAGAAGGTTGATTTAATTAAATACATGTTATTTCCATTGTTAGCTTTTGAACCTCTTGACACTGTTCACACAAAAAAGGTGGTTGGGCTAAATTGATGATAGTTTAGAATGAGGTTTTGTTAAACAATGGCTAAGCTTTGTTTAAATAACCGGCCTTTAACCCTTTAACTCCCATAATTGACCAAGACAGAATTTCTCCCTACAATATCAATACAATATCAAGCAGACAAGTGATGAGAATACAGGAAAATATTAATTTGGGGATTATTAGTTGATCCAATACCAAATTCTCCAAATTAACATAACAAGAACTATACAGCAAACAGTAGGGAGAATTACAAATGAGATCTTGGGAATGAAAGGGTTAAAGTTTACACCCTCCCTACCCATTCCCCTCCAGCCTGCAGTAACCCACTACCCCTATCCTGCTGGTCCCTCAACCTACCTAACCCCTCTCTCCCCCTTTCCCTCTTTGCAAAAATGACACGGTGCAGCTCTTTCAACAAATGCTCAGCTGAGATAATATGAGCAAAAAATGGTGACTAGCTATTGATTCAATTGTGTTGCTACAGGTGATACAGCTGATGTACTAGGCTGTGGTATTTGTTGTTGTTGTTGCTGTTGCTGAGCCAACGTTTGAGCTTGTTGAAGCTGCTGGAATTCTTCCTGTTCAGCCTATAAGTAATAGTATTAGAACTGAGCAGAGTCCAATTCAATCTGTAAGCATATGAGTGATACCAAAATTGGACAACTGTGCAGTGAGAGTCAAATTTGTTTATCACAGACCTGTATGATTACAAACTAAATTGGACAACATGAAGTCTAATTACCAATTAATCATAAAAATTACAATTTCAGAGAACAGAAGAAGAGCCATGGTATAAAAGGAAGGGAAAATATGCTCTAAGTTAGGAGTCTGTGCACTGTTTCTATGGTGATTGAAATCAAGATTGTGATTGGTTGTTTTAAACTACAACTTTGAATGTGATTAGTTGATTTTAAACTACAATTTGAATGTGATTGGTTGATTTACACTACAACTTTCAATGTGATTGGCTCATTGAATTGTCCTATAACAAACTTTTTCAAACCAATCACAATTGAGGAAATTGTGATTTTTATGATTATGTACAAAAAAAAAACCCATGTGACCAAGGTCCCTATCATTACTCAGAATTGTTAATTTAACAAGTAACCCTGTATGCTAATACAGTTGACATCTAAACCAATTGGGTTTTCATCAACCACATTAAAAAAACTCCCATGTTGATCAACATATAACATCTACTTGAAATTCCAATATGTAATCTTGTAAACAGGAAATGAGAACAAACTACCCAATCAGATAATGGTTCTCAACTTGATTTAGCACTATACCCTATTGTCTAATTTACAAGGAAATTCATGGTCATAAGTAGAGAGAATTACTAGTTGGATCATGGGAGAGTTCTCCAATCTCTGACACCTAATGCATGTACTGTACCTGAGCTTGCTTTATTCTTGCTTGCTGAAAGAGTTCCTGCTGTTGCCGCAACAACTCTTCTTCAGGGATACCCTGAAAATGATATGGATGTAAATAAAAAAAGTATGATGGAGATACAACAACCAAAGATGTTATACATTTGACCTGACAAAAATTGGCAGCAAAAAAAACTGCGTCTTTTGTGAAGATTCACACCTCAGTCTAGTCCAATTTGCAGAAAGATTTTCTTCCAATTTGGCAACCTGCAGTACAGTACAAATGACTACCTAGCGAATCTTTTGATACATTAAGTTTATAAACCACAATTACAAGAATAAATAAACAACCCTGTACAGTCAAAAAAATTGGAATTTCAAGATAAATCAAAGAATATTCCCTGGTTAAAATGTTTTTGCTAATTCCTTGTCAACATTCTGATTGAAAAGTTGTCTTTGAACTTTTGGCCATAATTGAGAGTGGAATGGTTATGATACTGCATGAGTATGTCTATTCTTACCAGATTCTCCAGTCGTGTGCTGGCTCTTCTTTTGTTCTGCAAAGGAAATAAATGTTAGTTTCATTCTAAAAGTCAGAGATACAGTGGCTTAGCAGTTAATGCACTTTTGGTTTTAGAGAGGTCCAAGTTTGAGATCTAGTTGAGTCATTGTGGTGTGTTCCAGGGAAACACACTTTAATTTCACAGTGCTTCTCTCTACCCAGCAGTAAAGATGGGTAGGCCATGATCTCAAAGGGAAGAGTAAAGAAATGCTGAGGGGTGACTTTCTAAAAGACTACCATCCCATCCAGGGGGAAAGGGGGGGAGGGGTAATAATTCTTCTTGTTGTTTCACGCTATAGAAACAGGGATAGGCTCCAGCTGGCTGGGTGGGTCACTTGGTGCAAGAGACAGCAAGATCTATATTACCGGAACTCATTACATCAGACTACAGATTACAAGGTTCGGGCTGGATCATTGTGTTGTGTTCTTCGGCAAAACACTTTACTCTCATGGTGCTACCCAGGGGTGTAAATGACTAACAGTGCTTCTGTCTACCCAGGGATATAAATGGGGTTAATGTCACTATGACTCTGTCTACTCAGGGGCATGAATGAATACAGGTCACAACACCTTTATCCACCTGGGGTATAAATAGGTTCAGGTCACAGTACCTCTGTCTACCCAGGGGTACCAATGAAAACCTGCCTAGAGAAACAAATGCATAAATTCAATTCACTTACTGCAGCTTGTGTTTTACATTCTTGAAGGACTGATCTCACTTCTTCAATGTAGGAAGTAAAACCCAATCCCTTGAAAATTAAAAAAAAAAAGGTCCATTTATTCAGAATATAATTATTTCATTCAAGGAATGAAATTTGATACCAAACAAGAAAAACTAATTATCACCCTTAACCCTTTCCCTCCCACTAGTGACCAAGACAGAATTTCTCCTTACAATATCAATACAATCTAAAGTAGACAAGTGATGAGAATATAGCAAAATATCAATTAGTGCATTATCATTTGATTCAATAGCGAATTCTCCAAACTAAAATTATAAGAAATGTACAGTGGACAATAAGGAGATTTACTGAAGAGATCATCGGAGTGAAAGGGTTAAGTTATCATTTTAGATAAGACATCTTAACCTTATATTATAGAGAGCATGCATCATGTATACCTTGCAACCTTACATGTAAGTGTTAAGAGAAGAGAGAATTTTTCAGAAACATGTATCACCAACCCAAAATAACAGAGTAATTTGAGCAAAAGATATAAAAATAAATGCTAAAAAACTTGGAGGAAAAATCAGAGAAAAACTTCCTTCTTCCATGAAATTCCTATTTCAAATCCCTGTTAAAGAGTTTTCAATGACATGTGAAAGAAAAAACAGCAGAGTTACTCATCAAGAGGATAAAATTAACCTTTTATATCATAACTTCAGTAGTCAGGATGTTTTAACAACGCTGTTAACCCATTAGAAGCTAACAATGCTGGTAAAACTATATTAAAACTATCAGACATAGCATTCACCTGTAAAGCTTGAAAAACATGCTCTGGTAGAATTGTCTTCTTCATCTGACGATTACAAATTTCATTTGCCTCTGATGAAACTAAATGAATGAACTCTGCAATGCAAGAAATAATACCAAACCATAAATATATGTATGTGTACAGTGAAAAAAAAAGAATCAGTTCAATGGCAGGCATCATTATCATTATTATCTTTAACCCTTTAAGTCCCACTGGTGACCTAGATAGAAGTTCCCCTTACGTTATCAGTATGATATCAAGCAGACAAGTAATAAGAATAAAGAAAAATATCAATTGGGGGATTATTGGTTGATCAAATTCCAAATTCTCCAAACTAACATCACATAAATTGTATGGCAGACAGTAAGGAGAATTATTCATGAAATATTGGGAGTTAAAGAGTTAATGCCATCATCAAAATTAACATCGACCCAAGTTGGTCAAAATAAAATTTTATAATCACCTGTACAGCAGTTTAAAATAAGTTCTCTAGCATCATTAGAAACTCGCACATTTGGTATCATCTCCTTAATCATCTTGTTAACAGCAGCTATCAAGAATAAAGAATTTATCAATTGAAGATATGCTGTATCCATTGATAGAACAGTATAACTTTAAATATGAGGAGTAAATTTAAATTTCAGCAGGACTATTTCAAGCAGGAAATGACAATGAAATGTAGATGTACATGAAAGCCAGTCAACCTCACTTCTTGACTTGAATGACAATTCAATTCACAGGACTAAAAAAATTGTCTAGAAACCTAAACTGGTATCCAATCTTATTCATTTTCTTGTTCATAAAAATTCAAACGCAAAAATACTCTATCGATCTAACGTTCGCTCTCATAATCAAACAGGGAAGTAAGCTTGTAAAAGTGACCGAGAAGGACCAATTTAGGGACAAACATCATATTTTTACGGCGAAACAAGACATTTATGACTAGAGTATGAAATTTGTATCCGATAATTATAGAAATAAAGAGTAACGTGTCTCAATAATCACATAAATTTATCACAAACCTCTTGGCAATGTCACATCATCGTCAGCTGCGGCTTCCGCCATCTTGGACTATAGAAATACACTAGAATCCATCTTATATCAAGTATCTATCGTAGCGAAATGCCTAGTCAGCGCGGGCTCATGTTAATGACACGCTTCATCTCCTTGTGAGCTGACGCACACGATGTAAACACCGAAGGCTTTTCTCAAGAATTATCAGAAGAGGAAATACTAAGGATATAACCGTGGAGTAAATTGCTTTAGGAGAAACATACAAGCGGGAAAAAAAATAGAAAACTGCAATCGCAGGTAGGATCTAAGTGGGGAACTGGATAGCACCAGTGCGAGCTGTTAATTTAATTTTGTCAATTCTCTGAACCTTTTTTCGGATAATATATTTATAATGCAAAGAAAAGAATCATGTTTATCACTTCATAGGGCTGTATAGTTTAGGGGAGTGCAGTTTACTATAGAAGACTGACACTGGAGATCGGGGAAGAATAGCGGTCCCGCAATAAAAAAAAAACAGTTTGCTGTTCCCATTTCTGAGACCCAAAGACGCGCCTAGCCCTTTCTGGGCGATATTTGAGTCTGTAGATGCACTTAACTCACGAAAAGATAGAAAAAATATATTGAATGAGTTCGGCCAACAAATAGAGGACGGTAGTTCGTGTAGTGTGATCGTCCGGGTGACTGTAGTTCTGAAAAGAACTGTTGTTGGTGACTGACGTTTCGACTATCTGTGCGGTAGTCATCTTCAGAGTAGGACGGTAGAGAAAAGACAGTGTGAAACTGAGGCTGCTCCATGTATTTGGCTGCCCTTAACCCTTTAACCCCCAGAAGTGATTAACAAGTAACTTCTCCTTAAAATATCTAAACATTATCCAGCAAACAGGTGATGAGAATATTCATACTTATCAGGTGGAAGTGGTTATCTCGATATGACACCAAATTCTCGTAACTTGAAATTAGAAGATCCTCGCAGCTAAGAACACTACTGAAACTAGTAGTTGTAAGTAGGACCTGAAAAAAATTTCAGGCCCGTACGGGATTTGAACCCATGACCTCTGCGATACCGGTGCAGCGCTCTACCAATTGAGCTAACAAGCCAACTGGGAGCTGGTCAGTGAATTGGGTACAAATAAGCATCCGAGTGAATGAAGATTTAGATATATGAAAATTCACATATTTGCACTGCGGTAGAAAGATGAAATTAGAAGATCCTCGCATACTGAAACTAGTAGTTGTAAGTAGGACCTGAAAAAAAATTCATATATATACCCGCTCCCAGTATCTATTGAGCTATTGGTAGAGCGCTGCACCGGTATCGCAGAGGTCCTGGGTTCAAATCCCGTACGGGCCTGAAATTTTTTTCAGGTCCTACTTACAACTACTAGTTTCAGTAGTGTTCTTAGCTGCGAGGATCTTCTAATTTCATCTTTCTACCGCAGTGCAAATATGTGAATTTTCATATATCTAAATCTTCATTCACTCGGATGCTTATTTGTACCCAATTCACTGACCAGCTCCCAGTTGGCTTGTTAGCTCAATTGGTAGAGCGCTGCACCGGTATCGCAGAGGTCATGGGTTCAAATCCCGTACGGGCCTGAAATTTTTTTCAGGTCCTACTTACAACTACTAGTTTCAGTAGTGTTCTTAGCTGCGAGGATCTTCTAATTTCATCTTTCTACCGCAGTGCAAATATGTGAATTTTCATATATCTAAATCTTCATTCTCGTAACTTATTTACAAGGAAATGTGTAGCAGCTAGATGGGAGAATTAACAATCAGATCTGGGGAGTTAAAGGATTAAGCTATGGAGCGATGTCGCCAAATTGGATCCACACCAAATGGGACAAAAGTAACCTTTATTAATCTTTTCATACAGATGAATTATCACAGCGAATTGCCTTATTGAATTTGTCTGATTACCTTGCTAAAAGAAATGTATAGTGGTAAATGTTTTGGCAGAGAGCCAATGGGACATCAATAAATAACAAAGACTAATAGCAGCTGATAATATCTCATGCACAGTTGATTGATTGACCAAAATTGATGGCTTTTCATCCTTTTTGGGTCTCCAAAAACTAAAACGATCTGAAATTATCTCCAAATCGAGCAAAATGAAGATAGCGAAATCTAGCGAGATTCGTGCGTCTCGGGCTTTTCGACGAAAAATGATAAAAATTAGTTTATCGCGAGAATCCGATGAAAATTCATCCAATTTTGAAGAAGCCTACTGTTTTGGGCGAATTGTCGGACTAAAATTTCGTGCAGAGGCAAATGTAACTTCGAACTTATGGGCAAAAAATCTCTCCAGCACTTCGCTAAGTCTCTGTTCACGGAGGAAATGCTCCGGCTAAGAATGAGATTAGTCTGGCGGACTCAATCTCTTAATTAAATGCTTGATCCTCTCTTTTCTTAGTACAAAAGGGCATCAGGATCCTCGTAGAAATTCTCAGCGGCAGACTTCGTCTCTCCATCGTAATTGCTAGCAAAGAAACCTGGTATGATAATTTTAGACCACGGCCGACTCGCCTTTGAAGAACGCTCGTTGATGTCTGGCGGACAAGTCTTGAGCCCCTTAAGCTGAGAACGATGTCTCTCTGCCATTTGTGAATAATTTGTCTTGAAGTTACAATAAAATTCTTCCACAAAAGTCCTCATTTCTTGGAGATGTTTGGTGTTTTCTCCATCTGGGTCACCTGTTCCACAAAAACGAATAATATTTACTGGAGAAGTAATGTGATGAATGATACTTCCTTGGCCCTCTTCATACGCAGATATCTAATTGCAAACTTTTTTAGAGAACATTCTCAAAGTGGATCGAAAGAAGTAAATAGAAGAACGACACGAAGATGAAATATTTGGTAACTTTTTCAAATTGGTATTCTCCCTCTCATTTCATTCGAAAATCACGTTCACATTAGAAACACGCTCTTGAATAAAGACACCACCGGCTCACAGGAAAGACGAGCTTTGGAGACGCGGTGGTCGCCCTGAGAAGACTCTAAATTATGCACTAGTAACTATTCCCTCGCAACTGTTCGTAACTGAGCCTATTACAAATGCTCGCACGGGGTTGCTTGGAAAGATGCTTCGGCTGAAAGCTGAAAGCCTCGCCTTTGGTTTGAAAAAGTAGCAGTACTGCTTGTTGTATTTAATACTCACCGAGGTGTTCTTTCTTTCGCCCAGAAAACCATTGTATGAATTCCAATATGAGTCCCAGTAGAATTGCCAGCGACACGACTCCAGCCGCAGTGTACGTAAGATACCTGAACATGGTGTTCTTCGGATCAAACAAACCTGACGCAGTTTCCACACTTTCAGAGACGCGATCTTCCTATCGAAATGAAAAAAAAAAGGAAATTAATGTCGAAACGACGTAGTGATTTGGTGGGACGCTATGAGAGAAAAAGGATCGCGAAGAGGCTTGAAACAAATGGTAGCAGTAAGCCGGTCATTCGTTAGGTGATCTCATCATTCATCAGCTATCCAATCGGTTGGTCAGTCGTCGTTCGTTCGTTTATAGGGTTATTCGATTGTTCGGTTGTTCAGTCGTTCGTATGCTGGTTTGTTCGTAGGTCGGTTTATTCGTTTGTTCGTTCCGTCGTCGGTTCGTTCGTTTTTTCGGTCGTTCACGGTTCGTTCGTAAATTCGCTCGTTCGTTCGAGGTTAGTTTGTTTGTTCGCTCGTTCCAGGTCCTTAATCACAATTAACATACACGCAAAAGGCAAGATCAAAATGTTTTCACGTAAATTGCCTTTATGGCGTGGATAAACTTCCCAATGTGCTCAAACATCTCGGCCTTGTGACTCTGCATGTAGCTTTTGGAGCACTGCAGTAACCTGGTCGAGTTACCAGCCAAAACCACTCCGTAAGTAGACTCGTAGTCAAATATGGTGTGGATACGAATCCGAGGGTCTTTGAATTGATCTCTTTTAGTTCCAGCTTCGTAAGAGTCGATCAACATTCCCTGAACTTCTTTTTTGATTAGCGCCTCGTACACTTCGGAAAATGTTTCATAGGGATGTTCTGTAAGATAAATGCGGCGCTACGTTTAATTTTGAGCATGGAAGGGCAAGAGATGAAAAAAAAAACAACAAAAAAAAAGAAATGAGACTGAAAGGAGAACGAGGCGAGAGACGGAGGAGGAGGCTTCGTACTGATAAGGCCCATGTCTACTACGGCTTACCGTTATCCACAATGGCATTTCTGGCCACAGCTAATCGGTATTCTGGAGTGTCATGAATTACTGCCACCTGTATGTAGTAACAAAATAAATGCATGTGGTCAAAATTTTATGATAAATTGTCCGTTATTCCCCATGGCTCTTACCCAGTCTTTTGCACGGCGCAGGTGGCTAACCCGGGTGGTTGCAAGGTATACTAACTTCGCTCTTAGAAAACTGTTCACATCTCGGAACAGATACTGTCCGTGGACAAATATCCGTGTATATTTTGCGCTAAATAGAGGCTATTGTTTTTGTATACCGTATAACGCCTAAGAGTTAATGGGACGCTCCAGGTAACCAGTTTGAAATTGGCAAGGTTTTAATTTACGTTCACGGATCGGACGACCTGGCGATGGACATATGAAAAAGAGACGTGAAATAGTAGAGTCAGTTGGGAAGAGCTAGGGGAAGGACTTGCAGCTTATATAAAAATATAATATATTATAAAAAATAGTTAAATTGCTCAAAAAAATCAAATCAGATATACCTTAGTTCCGTACAGAACAAGGTTGTTTTGAACTACGAAGAGTGAAACGGCAGAGGTCAGAGCACTGCTCAGTGTGCTCATCAAGACGAGTCCAATTAGGATCCAAACAATTGCGAACACCTTGGACCAGTAAGCTGACGGAACTTTGTCACCATATCTGTCATCGAAAAAAAATGAGGAGAGTTTTTTTCATTTTGCTGTGAGCTGCTGAGACGTGAATGAGGACAAAAGAAAATTCAATTCTCTACTGCGAGCAGTTTTCAATTGAATGTCGAAACACCACAACCGAAGCAATCCCAGTGACCAATCATGATCAGAGTTAAGGATTTCACTATCACAAGCCAGTAGGAACTTAACGTTAAAACGAGGAAACTGCTTGAGGCGTGGGAAAACGCGAATGATCAAGGAGCGCTTGTTTTACTCTTGTTTTTCGCCTCTGATTGGTTGAGAGATGGCGCGAGTTTTCTGGACCAGTCACAGAGTAAAGTAAAACTAAAGCACGTTGGATTACTTTTGACAGTCAATTGAAAATTGCTCTAATTATTTCTGTTTTGCTTACCCTAATGTTGTCATGGAAATAAAGGCCCACCAAAACCCGTTCCCCGATCCACGCCAAAATGAGCGAGGAAACTCTTCTGGGTTGTACTTTGTGTCCTGAGGAGAGAAAATACCTTACAGCTTCAGAGAGCCTCAAAAAAATTAAGATATTGGCGAAACGATCAAAATAGTACCCTAAATTCATATATTGTAATGGATAAGTAACATTAATAGAACTGAATGGAGTCCAACCGAGTCTGTAATCATACGAGTGATTAACAAATCGGTCTACCGCGAACCTGGAGTCTGATTTGTTAATCACAAGTATGATTATTGACGGAATTGGACGATAAAAAGTCCTGCTACTAAGCAATCATAACTATGAAAAAATTAGCCGCTAGTTAAACGTTTTTTGAAAAACAAAAACCACAACAAAAAAAACCCGGTAAATTCGGCGATTGTGCCCACGACCTGTACTCTTCACACAGACATGACGCGTTAACTGTCCGATCCCACTATCCAATCACAGGCAAGAGGCGTACACTATCCTTTAAGTTCTTAAATCTAGCTGGTGGTAGCCAATCACGTTCGAAAATTTTGTTAAAGTTTTGACTGAGACTGTAATCACTCTTGAGAACAGGGGAGTCAACTTTAATCGTATTTCAACTTAGATGAACCGTCTTGCTGACTCCTTAACTGCTCCGTTACCTATGTAATCACCAAAGAACATTTCTCACCAGAAACCATATAATAATCCCAGCTATAGCAGCAAGAAGTGATGATATGACACAGTAGGGCCAAGTTGCAAATACTTCACCCAGTAATCTTTGCGCCGGACTTCGATCGTCGGGTTCGATTATTATAAAGGCCACACCCGGAGATTCCACCAGAGGAATGTAGCGGTTATCTGAGCCGTAGTTTTCTTGCCACTTCCAACCATATACGGGAAAACTGGTAAAAAAAAACAGTAAAAATGAGCAAAGGGAGATAAGGCTTAAAGGTGCATCTTAATGGGGTCATGGCTTTTACGACTAACGGTCAAAATTTTGGCAAGTTAATGATTAACGGTGAGAAATTTTTTTAAACCGTTAACTTTTTTACGACTAACGGTTAACATTTTTCAATATAAACGCTCAACAGCTAAATTTTTGACCGTTTTACGGCTAACAGTTAACCCCATGGAGACCCTCTTAAAGCCTGAACCGCATATAAACAAGGCCTTACTCCAAAGCTATCTTGTCCAACATGCATAGCTGACGTCGTTACTATGTTTTGTTTGTTTGTTTATTTAACCTTAATTTTTATATCTTTTTAGAGCTCCGAAAACAGATCCTGTGAAGAGCTTTCACCTTCGGACCTCGGGCCCGTTTGTCGAAGGTTCCAGGCCCGTTTGTCGAAGGTTCCGGGCCCGTTTGTCAAAGGTCCCGGGCCCGTTTAGCGAGGGTCCCGGTAACTCAACGGGCCCGCAAAGCAGTTTTGTTTTCATTTAAGATAGGAATTTCAAAATAGTGGAGAATTATGCAAGAAAACTGTCAGCTAAAGAAACGAAATGGATTGGTTGGACTGTCAGAACCTGCTTCTCTATTCTATAAACTTCGATTTAAAGATATGGATTCCGGTCTGTTAAGTTGTCAGTACCTTCGAGAACTACCTTATGAACTAATCAAGTCTGTTAGCTGAGTCCTCTTGGCTAATCAAGGGAGCTTGTTTGCTCGACAGCCTCGATGCATTACCTACCTGAGGTCGTTGCGATCTTCAATCAAAAGCTTCATGTTTCTTTCGCTTTCCTGCTTAGCTTCACCATTGGTGCCGTTGTACATGAAGTCCACAAACGATTCTCCGTGAGATGCGCATGTCTGACAGCACGTGACTATAAGGTCATTGAGGATTTGAGGGAGCATCCCTGTCATGTTCTCAACACTAATGTTTCCATTATGAGTTAATGGGAATTGGTTCACGTATGGTGGGAAGAGGCGATAATTGGTGGTCAGGCGCTTGTGACAGCGACAAGTATCTAGAAAAAAAACGAGGAGCAAAGTTTGAAAGCATTGCGGCGCGAGTTTCGCGACATTCGAGCCCGCGAACGAGGCGAACAGTTCGTGAGGGGTTTTGTGCGACAACTGAGAGCCCATGTCGGACGCTCGCGGATCTCTCGTAAACTTGCAACGCTCGCACCTCTAATGGGCGTTTCCACTCGTGACACAGCGCCAATGAGAGGCTACTTGCATGCTAATAATACCCTAGCAGCAAAGCTGAAACATCGAAAGTACGTTCTTACCGACCACGACTCTTCTCCCTAACCCTTTGGCAAATAAAAACATTAATTTCATGTGCCCCTTCAGTGGAAAGAATTTCATCTAATTTCCTGAACACAACTGTGGGGAAGACACCATACCTCCTGCGGTGATCGCACTCGGTCCATCCCCCATGCGGCTAAATCCGGACACTTTGATCTGGTAACGAGTATATGGATCCAATCCTTCAAGAACAATTTCAAAAGTATCTTTTCGAACAGTTATGTTGTAAGTTGGCTCTTCCCCCTCCTCAACTTCCTGGTCTCCAATCCTGACGGCCCTGTAGAACACGCGGTAACCAAGTAATCTCCCCAGTATCAACTCGTCGTCAATTGGTCCCCACGTGACATTAACAGAGGTAGTTGTGGTGTAGTTGTACGCTGTTAAGTTCAGTGGCGTACTTTTAGTTCCTTCAAGTCAAAGAGAAGCTGAATTAACGGATTGAAAAAGGAAAATGCATACTTTTTAAAATGTAACAAGATTTAGGTGTAGGGGCCTCGCCCTTCAAAACGCAAAGCGCACGCTTAGTGCACCAAAACAAGGCTTGTGCATATCAATGAAGGCGGGGAGGGGGGGGGTTGGTAACTAAAATAAAGAACTTTTCTCTAGCTGTTTGATAGCCTATTCACACCAAAACTTAAACATGTTTTAAAGCTGTTTTGTTAAACAAGGATTAAGATTTTTTTTTCATAGAAGCTGCTTAAACCGATGTTTACTGAATTCATATTTGGCACATTGAAAATACAAGTTAGTGAGTACTGGAAACCCCATGGAAAATTCAGTTTTTGTCTGTGTCGAATTTTCATTCAGTTTAACCCGGTTTAACTAAACATATTTTGTTGGCGTGAACATGATGGTGCATAAGACTCAATACCACGAAAACTACATTATTTTTGGCGGAACATATCCCTAATTTTACTCCTTCTTCTCTAAACACTCACCCAGGTTGTCCGGTAATGCCAGATCGAAAGTAGCATTCCCCTCACCCTTCCTTGTAAATGCGACGATCCCAATGGTGTAATTGGCAAAAGTATCCAGATCAAAAAGAAACGCGTATAGTATGTCAGCGGTTGTGTTTTCAACCCTCTCCCCTGCGACCCCATCCAGCCGCCGATATTTGACTCTGTATCCGAGAATTATTCCATTGTGGCAGTGTTCAGGGACTGGTTTCCACTTTGTTAGGAGTGAAGTCAGACCCGGGACATCGAATGTGACGTCTTGTGGTGGCAGACAAGGGACTGGAAGAGAAATCGGTTGAAAGCATGGATGTAATATAAAATAATATGGGTCAGGTCAGGTCGGGTCGCCCTAGGCCACCCCCGAGTTTTTCGCTCCTTCACCCCTATCGCGCTATTTAACACTGGACTCCTGGAACAGAGTAATAATATAATAAATCGTCTATCGCTTTTTTTCTCTTATCATTTAAAACCATCAATAGAAATAATTTTGTTTCAGCCACTGAATCATAATTAATGCAAATAAATACTTGATTGTTTTATGGCAATACCTCCTTCGTCCGTCCGCGCCATGTAAGGCTCACTGAATGGTCCCCGGCTGATTGTAAACGCGGCAACTTTAACATGGTAATGGGTCCAAATTCTGAGTCCTGTCAAGGTATGCTCAAAGGAATCATGTGAGGCCCTCTTTCTCCTTCTTTTCTCACCACTAACACCTGAGGTATTACTGGGCATATTAACGTACTGAACATTACTTGGATCATCAACTAACCAATAGGCGATTACAAAACCTCTTATAACGCCATTACGGTCCTCATACGGGACTTGAGACCACGTGACTAGTAAACTCGTGGAGCTTTCGTTGTTGACGGCGGAGACTCCCGTGGGGGGAGAGGACGGGGCTGTAGAATTATAAAAATGATAATAATAATAATAATAATAATAATAATAATAATAACAATTATAACAATAATATTGTATATAGGTAAAACGCGATCTTGTCGTTGCAAGAATGTAGCGTCAGATAAGTATTCAAAATATAACCCCAGAGGTCTGATCTAGGGAGGGGGATCTGAACCTCCTCCCTCCCCCTGAATCAGCCAATGACTTTCCATTCCCAAAATACCCGTGACAACTCATGAGCTACCTGCTTCTGCTGTTCGTATCTCTAAAGGGATACTGTACTCGCTGTCACCAGTGGTGTACATCAGAATGCGGATGCTATACAGGGTGTATTCATCAAGGTCAGACAAGGTCCATGAGAAGTCTGTGGCTCGTTTTCTTCTCACAGATCCTGATCCGGTTAGCTGTACGTTTAACTCGCTAAGTGGTATACGCCTATACTCGGCCGTGGAATTCCCTTTATCCTTTCTGCATAGATAAGAAACAAACAGGCAAACAAAAAAACTGATTAGAAAAGACTGAGAAAAAAATAAAGAGTAAGTTTCCAGAGAAACTGTGGTGCTGTGCTGTTGGAATAAGGGGAGGGGGATTGGCATCACAAGATCATTTTTTTTTCATCAACTGAGTTGATAATGTTAATTGGCAACCGTAAAGAGTTTCTAAAGGTGATATTTCGAGCGTTAGCCCTTCGATATTCGGTCTGATGAACCTCAAGGTAGAGAGAGGTTTTGTGAGAACACAGTAGGCTGATTTAGCAACAGAACGGGAACGTCAGTCGACGACGGCGTGCGCAAATCAAACAACTGGCTTGACCAATGGCAGAGCGGCAAATTTAGCACCGGAAGTCGTGTTTAGTCCTTTCCGCGCGCTTTCCCGTCGTCAACTGACGTTCCCGTCCTGTTGCTAAATCAGCCTAGTATGTTGCCTGAAATCACATCAAACAGACCCAGGCCCGTTCCGCCTTTGGTCTCGGAATGAAGCATGATAGAACCAGCCCTCCTTATCTAAGGCCCGATTTAATGCTCATTTGTAATATGACTGAGAAGTTTACAATCGAATAAGCCAATAAAGTTCCATTGCAGTGTACACTAAAAATCTCTTGCTGTGCGTTTCCTTTCAGAAAATCTAAATTAATTAATCATACCTGTAATACATGATGGTAAATCCCCGTATAACCCCATTCCAGTCTTCTTCGGCTGGAATATCCCACTCTATCGTTGCTTCCCGCGGTTTGACATGAGCAGACCTGAGATTGCGAGGAGGGGAACTCGGAGCTAAGGAGTAAAATATGTTCATGGCTTAATTTCCGCAATTAAAACTAAAGCACGTTATGAGGATCCATTTGATTATATAGTTCTGCAGCTCCCTTGTAAGGTTTTTTTTAAACGCATTAAGGGAAAGAAAGTCTCCTTTTGCGTCAAGTAGTGGCTGATGAGAACCCGTAAACTAAGCTTTTTTCACTCTTAATTTGTGGATGATACGCGTCCTACATACCGCTAAGATCAGCAATTTATGTAGAAGTATGAAGTATGCAGGACGCGTGTCATATGAACTTCATAATAGGCCTCGCCCACCATAGAGTCTCTGTGACTCAGTAGTTGAGCATCGGTGCGCGGATTCCGAATGTCTGAGGTTCAATTCCTCATGGGGAAATCTTTCTCTATTTTCAAAGTTCTTTCAGCGATTTATCAACTGGAATAATTCTTTCAGTACTAAATGCCCGTCTAGCGAGGATGGCACATTAAAGTTGCAGAATATTTATCAGGCCATAGGTAATTTTCGTTTCGTTTCGTTTCACACTCCAAAGCAATCCGCAGCTTCTCCTTACACCATCAACAAATTACATGATACAACATTGTCTAATGCACCAACAGATTCTCGCAGTTATCGTTAAAAAAACCCTGCATTGCGCTGTGAGAATTTATCATTCAACGTGAGTGAGCACATACCATCCTCCGCTGTCTTGCAATGAAAGGTATCACTTGCATTTCCTTTGCCATAGATGTTATAAGCAACAATGCTAAACTCGTACTCGGCGTATTTTTCAAGGTTTCCCACAGTAAAGACCGTCTTGTTTGCTTCTGTAACATCTACCTCATCAAACGTGTCATTGGAACCAGCTTTTCTATAATATATATAGTAACCTGTTACAGCTCCGTCGGGGTCTGTGTGCGTGTTTGTAACGCCATCCCAAGACAGAACACAGCTTGTAGAAGTTTTGTTGCTCAGGCCTAAATTTTCAGGAACCCGATCCGGCGCTAAAAAGTGACAAAATTCGTTAATCATATCTGCTTCCACCAGTTACGATATTAACAATGCAAATAAACATTTATCAAAAGAGAGAACTTTGCTTCAGAATCCACGCCTCTAAGTTCCAAATAATACCATAACCAGACCAATTGAAAATGCGTTTACCGCTCTTATTCATTGTAATAGATTGCCATAAGATGGGAAAAAGAGAAACTTCTTTACATCGCTTCTATCTAGAATGAACGTTTGCTAAGTCACGTAGCTTAAACCATCACACTCCAACATCAGTTTGCCTAAATTATTCACCATACTGTTCTCTAGACATTTCCTAAGGCACTGACAAGGAAAACTTGTATATCACCCAAGATGATGTTTGATTCAACAATATGACTGAAAGGAGAAATTAGATGCTAGTCACTCTTAAAGGTTTCGTCTGAGCAACTTACGCGGGAGAATTTTGCTGTCCGTGGAAACCACAACTGGTAGGCTTGCGTTACCGTCAGCCACTGTGAATGCTAACACCCGGATTTTATACTTTGAGTCGATCTCAAGCTCTCTTATTTCAGAGGACAATGTATCTGCATCAACAGTTATATTTTGATCTTCACTTTGTGAGTCGTTCAGATTCTTATAGATGATTCGATAACCACGCAAGACTCCGTATAGTGGCCCTGGTAGGGGACTCCACTTGACAAAGATACTGCGGGCGCTGGTGTTGTAATATTCGGTGATTTTCGGTGACGTGGTAGGAGCTGAGGTATTTGAAAACAGCAAAAAAAGAAGAGTGAGTAGGAGGAATTATGAAAATATCTTTAATTAGCTCAAAAGTGACACTCTCATTCTTAATCTTCTTGATAACCTTCTTTCCATCCCCCCCTGCTTTGTCCTTCATTCCTCTAGAAAAAGTCGCTTTTAAAGGGGGGATTACCAAACCGTACTTGTACGCATTGACCAATTGTGGAAAAATTCCAGGCCCCGGTTGTGCGAAGGTTGGATAACACTATCCACTGAATAAAACTCTGTCCGGTGGATAACGCTATACATTTTGCTATCACTAATCCGCCGGATAGCGATTTATCTGTTGGATAGCGTTATCCGCCCTTTTGTACAATAGGGCCCAGAAGCCTAAGGACTAATAGAGAAATCTCTAGAGTCAACTGACACTTGTTCCTTTGCGTGACAATTTTAAAAGAGGCAAGTAACGTTGTCTTTTTCCTACACTTTTGAACCTCCACCTTCGAGCTAGATGGAAAAAAACTCTGCTGTCCCATTGAACCAGTCTCTTTCGGCAGTGACCTTTGTCCCGATAACATAACATATATGAAATTCATATATCTAAAATCTTCGTATCGATATTAAATCACAGCAGTTCGCACCAAATGTTCTTCAGTGCGATTTCATTTTTGATGAAATCATTTCTCTTATCGTATTTTCTAATACAAACAAAATTCTTCCTTGTATATATAATTTACAGGCTAAATCCTTTCTATTTAACTTCTGCGTTTGTATTTTTAATCTGAGATTTCTAATCTTATTTCTGTGCACGGATTGCAATACAATGATGGCATGTGCTCGAGTGAAGGTTTGATCGCCAGCGCACGGATTACTCAGCCTTAAGGATAAAATGGTTTCGATAGTAATGATTGAAAAGGAAACAAAATATTCCTTACCGAGTTCTCCAGAGGTGACAAAGATAGGCTCGCTGTAGTTACCATAGGCAACAGTTTTGGCGGCCACCTTTATGGTGTAATTCGAAAAAGGCTGCAATCCGAGCAGCTCTTTACGCATAACTTCAATTCTCGCTTGCACACAAATTGATAAGATGTTACTATCCTCCGTCGAGTATTCTACGCGGTACTCTCTAACGATACCGTTTCTTCCTGACTCGGGGACTGGATCCCATGAGACCATGATGCTATGCGCACTTGTGCTGTATCCTTTGATGTTTTGTGGAGGCAAAGTGGGTGCTACGAGAGGTAAAAGAAGATAATATCGAAATAGTTTATTCACGCGAATTGTAGTAGATAAGTTTTGTGAAAAACCTTATAACGAGTGTAACCCCTCGGGATTCATGAACAAAAGTGTTGTTCCGCTCGGCCGAGCGTCGCACCGATGCAACATGTATTAAGTCATATTGAGTCACGACAAAGATAATGACTGCGGTATCAAACAAAAGTTCTTTCTTACTTTCTGCAGCGCCCGTTGGTAGTCAGATCGGAAACAAATATCCCTGAAATAAACAAATAACTAATAAAATAAATGAATGCAGCATTCCCACCTTACCTGTTTCGTTCGTGAGACATTCAACCGCTTCACTAAAATTCCCCTTGCCAATGTTATTGTGCACAGCCACTTTAATATTGTATGAGGTAAATGAATGTAGCGAGTTGATCTTCACTCTGGGAGAACTGTGGCACACAAGCGCTACTATGGAGAGTTCGTCAGCCGATGATTGGTCAGCGGAGTCATTTTTTACCACGTAAACTTCATAACTGAACAGTTCACCGTTGACAAACTGTCTAGGTATATCATTCCAGGCCACTTCGCAGCTGGTCGGCGTGGTAGATTCAACTGAGAGACCCGTGGGGCTAGCTGATGGCTCTGTCAAGGTAAGGATAAGATATTACTCATATCTAACAATCCATAATTTCTCAAGGATTTCGGAGGCGTAGTGTCTCAGCGAGTTAACGCACTAAGATGTAAGTCGAAATTATTCGGCTCAGGCCGTAGAAAATTCATGGTTTCCGTGCTTTTAGGCAAAAAAAACACTCGACTCTCACGGTACCCTCGAATTCTTAGGAAAACCTATGAAAAAATTTGGCGACAACATTCGATGTTCTCCTTTTCAGGCAATAAACGGTAAAATTTACCGCCTGTAGAACCTCTCATTAACGTTTAAAATTGATTGGAATTCTTGAAAATTCAACAGGTAAAAGGATTCCTTTACCGGTTTGAAAATTTATTTTACCTGTCATGCGTAAAATAAGGGAGAACACTTCAACCCTGCATCATTTTTTGCCAATATTATCGAGGAAATAACTAAACCGATAGAAGAAAATTTAATACTGGTGTGAGATTTAATATTGGTGTGAGACTTCGTCGAGGAGGTTATTTAACACTATTCATTAAGCCTTAGGCGAACTTCGTTTATTATTATTGTGGTTTTTTTTTTTAATTTTTCTTTTTGCACTATTGTTGTAAAGAGCCACGGACATTTTTTTATTGGAGGTGTGCACTTTGGAAGCATTCCACTATTTTTATATTTATTAAGGCTTCGTAACAGCACGAAGATATCACTTTGATTAACTGCGCGATGCTTTTGAAGTTCACTTTCTTTTAAAATATTTTTTAATGAAAACAAAACATGTTTCGAATGAAACATCATCCATCGTCAGTTGTATAATGAGATATCAAATGAAATTATGCAAAAAAATAATACAACATAGTGAGATGTTAACAAGAGTAACAAAAAAAGTGAAACTATTTAAGCTACGAAGGGAGACTAATTAGTATGAAAGGGATAAATTAAGATGTTTGACCTGGGAGTTTAAAAACGGCTGCTCCCAAAGGATGTGCATGGCTTCCTTAATTTTCAATTGGAAGCTTGTGGAAGCAGAGTCCAGAATCTTAAAACAATATGTGTTATACTATCTATTATAGCATAAATAATATTTACTATTTACGAAAAGATATTTGTTTAAAAGTTATCGAAAGAGTTACTTACTATCCCCCATGGTGAAACATTCGACTGGGCTGCTGTAATTTCCAGTGCCTTTTGAAGTAAGTTCGGCTAATTTAATCGAGTAGTTTGTGTAAGGTTTTAGACCACTGAGAACAAAGTTTGTTTTATTGGAGCTTGTTATAACATTTGAAGGATTCGTGGAGTGATTCAAAGACGTGTACTCAATCCTATACCCCAGTAACACTCCTTTACGTTGGTAGATGGGGATTGGAGTCCAGTGAAATGAACAGGAGGTGGGCTCGAGTGAAACCATATTGTGAATCACTGGACTTTCAACAGGAGCTGAAGAAAAAGAAACGAAGAGAAGAATATTTAGTTTTCAAAATGCGTACTACATTGTGCATTTTGTTCATATCAAATGCAGAATATTTCGTTCCCTTGTGCTTCTACTTCATTAGCAAGTTTGATCGGGGAAAAAATATGTTTAGTTACACTATGATATGTATGGGTCAATTGACTATCAGGGTAAGGTGCTTGCAAAAGAGTGGAAATACACCTTCTTACGTTCGACTCCTAACACCACCTCCAAACAAACCATGAAATCTAAAACTCTCCGTTGTTTTATGGATACCGAATGGTTTTAGAACCTTTTTTGTCGGAGTATTGTGAAACTTGAACCAAAGGCCAATCAGAATAACGAAAAAAAACTACAAGGAGCCGATGGGAATCCAAGTTCTTACCGTCCCCAAGAGCAGGCCGCGATTGGATCAGATGTTGAATGGTGGGGAGGACTGGGAGCTACAAGTCATCCAATCAAAGGAAGACCCGAACTTTGATTCAGTCTGGCTGATCAAAGAGTGCAGAGAAGTGAAAAGCAATCCTATATTTGTTTGGATGAAGCTTTAAGAAGCTAAGCAACTGCGCACCTACCCCTCCCCTAACTCAACACTAATCCTAAATTGTTGACTGTTGTTGTTTTATGGAGGGGTAGATCCGCAGTTGCTTTGATAGCAATATTGATCCATAACTTTCGACCCTCATTCATAGATTTTTATAGACTCACGGTCTTCATCTGTCAACAAGCACACAGCACGGCTGTTAGGACTATCAGCCACAGTGAACACTGTAATCCACAGACAGTAATTGGTGTACGGCTGTAAACCCTTAATGTCATAAGTAGTCAATCCTGCATCGAAAACCGTCTCATTCCTCAACGCCATCTCCCTTACGACATAGTTCGTTATATTGTCACCGTACTTAGTTTCATATACAGTTTGGCTGATAATATCTTCAGCTTTGGTGAAGAAGATCCGGTGTCCCCGCACCAACCCCGGGGTACGCTGCGAATGACTGGGAGGGTCCCAGGATATCCCGATGCTAGTGGGACTGGTGGCAGACGCGACTACATTGACCACGGGCCGGGGAGGGGCTAAATAAGGAGAAATTAGACATATTTTAAAGATCATATTCAAAATAACGCGAAAACAGTAGGAAATAGTACATGAATGGATGGAGGCAGTGTGGCCGAATGGTTGGAGCGCTTTGAAGGCCCTCCACCCGGCTTCTCACAGTATTTGTTCTCAGTTACGCCGAGTTCAACTCCTTGGCTGCACTTTGTGTATAGCCAGCTGCTCTAACTTCTACCAGTTGGGGTTTTTTTTAAAACTCTGTTGTGTTCTTAGGCGAGACACTTTAATCTCACAGTGCTTCTCTGCACCCAGGTGTACAAATGGTACCAGCAAATATGCTGGGGGTAACCCCACGATGGACTAGCATCCCATTCAGGGGGGAGTAACAATACTCTTAGCCGCTTCATGCTAAGGAAACCGGAGCTAAGCACCGACCCCATGGAACACTTGGGTCTGTATAAAGGCTTTACATATAGTTGATTGACTTCTTTTTCAGTGAATAAAATGAACGAGAAATTAAGAATAAAATTCAAGCATTTCACATGCTTACGTACCTGTTTCGTCTGTGGCTACGGTTACACTAGCGCTTATTCCTTCACCCTCAAGACTAACTGTTGATACATTTACAGTGTATGTTGTGTAAGCTTCCAGTTGTGTAATGTTTAGATTGGGATAAAGACCTTTCATGTCATAGACCTCTATTCTTGTCCACTGGTCACTGACTGTTAATGTTTCTTTGTAGTAAACCACATAACCAACTAATATGCCAGGAATGTCTTCATCAGATGGTGTATTCCAGGACACCTCGACTGAGTGTGGACCAGTAGCTAGTGCCTTTAATCCGGAGACTGGGGTACTTGGAACTAACAAGCGTCAGCATTACAATAAAAGAGACTTAAGTAATGTAATTTTCATTTAGAAGCTAAAGAGCTAAAACAGTAACAGAAAAAAAAATTGTAACAGAAAAAATATCCATGAAGGTATCAGTCGAAACACGCTAATACTAAATAGCAAACGGATAGAAGGAGCGGATGAAAAGAAAAAATAAAAGAGAGGATGGAAGGAAAAGCAGAGAGACAAACAGATATACAGATAGTCAGACAGGCTGACAGACAGACAGAGGCCGACAGACTGACATACAGACAGACAGACAGACAGACAGGCTGACAGACTGAGAGACTGACAGAGCGACAGAATGACAAACAGATAGTTAGACCGGCAGATTGACCGACGGAGTGACGGACAGCCGGACAGATAGAGATTGACTGATTGACAAACAGATGGACTTCAGACTAATAAATTTATATGGAAAACTGAAATAAAATTACGTAGCAAATTCAGAAAAAAGTATTGGCCTTTCGTTAGCTGTTATGGTTGATTCAATTTGACTAACATTCATTTAGGTACCAATAATACAAAGAGACATAAAGACCACGAAGGGACATGCACACACTTGAAAATTCATCGTAAAGTCGACATAACAAACCATTGTCATTTCTACTTCTGAGGAGTACGATTCCAGGGACATTAAATACGTTTGCGCGAGGAATCCAATTATCCAATAGGAAACCAAGCTGTTTGTATCCTGCACTGTCATAATGAAGGGTCAAGTTACATGACACCCGTCCACCATCGTCCCTGCAGAAAGAAAAATTTTCTCAGCTAACAACTCACAGACTTCTTTATTCACAAATGAAACGTTTTTGATCAGTAATAGCTAAAAAGTGTTCATAAATAGTGAGGTAGAATCTTCCATCTTGCAATGGACCAGGGCAGTTCTAATTGGTCGTTCGACTCCTCTTGTTCTTTAATTTTGAGTAGTTCTAGAGCGCACTCTCGATTTGATAATTTCATATATTGACCTTTTAGATGTATAACTATCTCGGATTATCGAATACTATGGGCTTTGCAGTCCTTGTCTTAAGAGAAATAATAAGTGATGATTAATTCCAAGGAGGTTTCTCGAAGCTAAGTCCTTCATTCCTGTAGATGCCTAATTCCGAGATAATAAACAATCCAGAAACACACGTGGAACGTGCAAAATTGTCGGTAGGAAACCAGATAACTGAGTCTAAAAATGTTCTCGTGTATTCGTATAAGTAACCAACAGCCTACCAGCATCCTGATAAATATATGTTTTCTGAAGTTATGTTAACTTCTTGCATGCTCGAATAGAAGGTAACGATCTGGAAAAAGAGAGGATGTCAATGGATTATTTTATCTTTTCGTGAAAAAGGACGGAACTCAGTGGAAGTCTGCTAACTAACATCCATCCACAGATAATAAAAAAGGTAAAAATTTAAATAATAAATGATTGATATAAAACAAAAACAAGGGAAAATTAAATTTTCAGAAAATTTCAACTAGCTCAATGATCTTAAGACTAGGGCCCCTCCGGCACAGGCCTAGAGGTGCTTACAAGTCCCAAGTGCGGTTATGGTGTTGTCATTATGTTTTCACAGTTCCAGTAACAAACCTCATTCCTCAAGACTTGAAAAAGCGCTGTAAAATTTTTAGATTCTGGATCATGGAAATCATCACTCCAGGAGATCCCGGTAAACTGAAGGGACAACTCAACATGAAGTTTTTCGGGACCTTTAAACGACGAAAGGGCATTCAAACAGCAATCAGCACATAAAATTATTTATGTATGACAAATACCAAAAGAAGATCGAACGATGACACTAAATCACGATAAGCAAGACCCTAAGATTTGAGAACGAGTTCGACAAGAGTGAGGTTTTCGATCACGGTCCCATCAAAATACTAAGAAAATATATACGTCGATCTTCTAGTTGACGTTTTACAGATTTAACGGAGAGCAAGACTTTTAAATACTTTCTCAATAGATCCGATGTGAGCCATTGAGGCCTTTCTGCTTTTTACTTTTTTTTTAAATCGACATTTCCCTTAGATACCTCTATATGTGTTGTAAATGTTCACAAATCTGTCTTTCTCAAGAGACATGCTCCAAATTGCAATCTCGTCAAACGAGGCATTGGGGAAAGATCCAGCACCAATCGTGAGCGATGGACCGTGTGCGGAAGGAGTACTGCATGGGTCACACACTTTCCGACTGACAACTGTTTCCCCATTCCTAATGGTTAACATCGATTTGTTGTTAATATAAATTTTAATATTACGGCTTAAGTATACTTGAGATCTTTTTCCAATAACGTTTCCCATGAAAACTTTTGGCAACGTCTTCCTTTTAAGATTATTTGTCCAGAACCTGAGGAAATTAAATTGTCACAGCTTCTCCTCCAGAAGCATTCTTTGCCTACGCACGTATCCAGTAGTCCGGCACATTCCATTCCGAATAACAGGACTCGATCTATTCTTAAACCTGTACAAAAGAAAGACTTACTTTTGGATGTTAAGAGATTTTTCCTCACTCTCCCAGGAGAAACCCAGATGTGTCCAAAATCCCTTTGCAACTGAAAATCTGCAAGAAGCCCCCAATGAGCTTGTGCTAATAGAGAGTCCGACTAGCTTTGATTTCGCTTCGTAAAATAATTGTGCCACTGTAAACCCGTTATCTAGAGAGAAGAACAACAAGTTTGCGCGTGCATATACATTCTGGAAGATTTTTGTAATCCCTTGCAAAACAACATTGAATCCAACAAGGACCCAGTCCTCTTCGTTACGAATATATTTTAAGATACTGAGTTATATTTAGTACCGATTCTTACAAAAAGTGAAAAGAAAAAAGGTGCTTTGAACTTCAACGAGCTACTGTCATCTTCAACTTACCGAAATGCAGGAAGATCTCATTGTCGCCGTTCTCCCTAGGATAATACTTCATCCACATAGAAATACTAAAATCTTCGGAACACTTCCGTATTTGACAAAAGGTGCCCAGATTTCCGAGGTCGACCCATCCACTCACACCGTCTAGCTGTATGGCCTGGCCACTAAGACCCTTAGCAACTAGGCTCACCGTACCGTGCGCCTCTCCCCAACCCAGTCTTGCGCGGTCCTTTAAATCTTCGACAGAGTCCAAAGCCCAGTAGGACATAGCATCATGGTAGAGATTGATAATCTTTTTCGGATCACCTGTTCAAAGTCATAGGCACAAAAGGAAATCTTCTTCTTGATGATATCCTTGCGTTATTGATTTGATCTTTCTTAAGATATCTCATGGTGTAAACATGTTTGAAACCTTGCAAAAACTACACCATTCTAAAAGTGGACTTTTTAATTTAGTAGCGAGCTAATAAAAATAACAGATCAATGTATATATGAATGGCACACAGGAGAAGCAATACTGCCCGTCGCTAGAAGATAGAATTTCGCAATTCACGCGCGCAAATGGCTGCTGCTAATCAATCACTTTCCAGAATTTTTGTATAGTTTTGATCATCAGTAAAAATCAATGAAAGTAATAAGAGACCCACGTGAAAAACGTCGTAACGATGAAACGTTATGCTGTTTTCTACGATAAAATTCCTCACCTTCCAAACACCACTCCACATTGCGCTCTGTCCAATCACAAACACACTTGGTAGTAATTTCATCACAGTTTCCCTCGTAGTGGTTGCATGGCTCTTTGCACAAACTGTCTGGTTTTCAGAAAATATGGAGTGAAATCTCTATTAAATAGTTACTCTCGGAAAATGCAGATGCATTTCTGCAGCGACAAGAAAAATTAACCTCACTCCCAATATATAGCAAGAATTTTGTTTTTATCAACCAAGTTTACAATATAAGCTGACCTAAATAAAGAGTTTTTTCTGTTTTCTTTTTTTCTTCAAAAAGCAAAAAAAAAAAAAAAAAGCCCTGCAATATACATGTGAGGAACAACTAGTCACTTACGTTTCTAAACTGGGTTACCTTTGGGGTATAACACTTCAATGTCAGAAATGCTAAAATTCTCTGTGTGTACAGGCAAAAACAAGCCATTCCAGTTTTCGAATGAATTTCCGTGTTGAATGGAGCCAACTGACATCGTCTTCAATGAAAGATCACCATCACCAAATGTTGGTCCCTCATGTGGCCTCACACGTTGTGCCTCATGTCGTTTGTCGCTTCTAATAGGGTATATTTCGAAATCTTTGGCATAGCTGTTCCTCAACCTGAATAGAAACGCGCCTGTGTTAACAGCGATCCCTTTCTCTGCGAACGAAACAAGGAAATTAAAGAATTATTTTACTATGGGGGAGGGGGGGGGGGAAGCAGTGAAAATAGGAAGTGAACAGGCAAGCATGCAGATGGGCAGAAAGCTAGGTAGGGACCAATCAGTGGAAACAGTATTGGGACGAGTAAAGCAAACTGAATTACATTACTATAGAGGAATAGAAAAACTAAGAGAGGCGGGTAGGTGGACAGGTAACTGTAATGAAACGGGATGCCTTGGTTAGGTAACTACAGTGTGCAGACCCGTAAGAAATAAAATTAATTCGAGACGCTTCATTTTTACCTATACCTGGCTGTGTCAATGTGTGCCCAGCTCTCCCAAACCCTGATACAAACATGAGCTCTCCCTATTTAACTTCAGGGTTAGATTTAGCAATCTTGGGGAGAAGGAGGTTCTTCTAAATTGAGTAAAAGTTGTAGGAGTGGAAGGAATTGGCCGAAGATCATAATTTAACTGAGCATGCAAAGTACTGTTCGTAAATGGCGTGGGTCGAAGGGTGTGTCGGTACTCAGGCAAGAAGGTAAGGGATTAGGAAGGTAGGTACGTGGCCTGTTGACAAAGTTGGTATATGATGATAAAATAGAGGGGAAGATGGGAAGTGGTTGGTTAGAAGGTAAGTCGACGAAAAGGTATCATAGGAAAGAAGGTGTGTGAATAATTAATAACATTCAATTGCTATCAAGTGATCAACTAACCCCGAACCTCGTTCCAGCCAACTTCAGTGTATCCACCAAAGATGTAGTTGTTAACTCGCACTATTGTGACCGTTGCTTCTTTCTCGCCGCACTTAGAGTAAAAGTTTTCGATGTCTCTTCCGTCGACAAGAGCTCGGTAGCAAGGCACCCAGATGTCATTCTTTCCACGAGCCGTATGAAGTGCTTGCAACAGAGACGATTTCAATGTGGAAAGGTGACCAATGATCGCGGACTTTTCTAAGGCTGGAGCTGAAATGATCACGATTTGATACATGGACAATCGAATAAATTCATTTCCTTAAATGGCAATTAAGTTAAAAAATAAGTTCTTAACGTACCTTGAGAGGAACTTTCTGCGTAGTCTGGGTAGTAATTACAAGTATTCGTTGACAGTTCTACGTTATCGAGGGCAATATCTCCAAGGAAACCGTCCCCTACAACTGCCTCAAATATCACCTATATCAGGTTAGAGTGACAATTAACATCTAATTTATAATAATTTAACTGGTTTAGCGGGATCTAGCAAAGAACGGAAAATTGACAGACAGACCGACAGACAGGTAGGCAGGCAGGCAGACAGGCAGACAGGCAGACAGGCAGACAGGCAGACAGGCAGACAGGCAGACAGGCAGACAGGCAGGCAGGCAGGCAGGTAGGCAGGCAGACAAACAGGCAGAGAGGCAGACAGGCAGAAAGACAGATATACACGTAGAAAGGCAGACAGGCAGACAGATAGACAGGCAAACAGGCAGATAGATAGACAAGGTAGGCCCTACCCCAGGATTTTTGAACGGTCTAAAAGACACGTAGGCAGGCAAGAAGAAGATAAGCAAGCAGGGGGGCAGGCAGATGAGCAGGCAGGCAGGCAGACAGGTAGACAAGCAGACAGGCAAGCAGGCAGGTAGATAGAAAAACACACGGACAGAGAGGTAGACAGGCAGACAGATAGACAGACACACGGAGAGACTGATAAGGGAACCTTAAGTTACCAAAACTAAGAAAGCAAACAAAATTAAAAACGAGCAAAAGAATCGTGGACTTCACATATTAAACTACAAGCCTTGTTTATTCTTATTGCGACACCTGGCCCTCCTCTCAACGTTGAGTTCTTTTTGTTGTTGTTGTTTTTTTTTTCAGGCTACCTTACTGTACTTCTACCAACATTGCCAACCCGGGACAATATTTCAAAATTGCGACGAGAATTACAAGGTACTATGCAACCTGAATAAAATTGGATTCGAACGTTCCTTTCCTTGAAAGGCCAATTCCGATCTATTTTGAATTGCTGCATAAACAACCTAAAATAACCATCCATATAACAAACGAACTAAATAAACCTCGACCGATTTCTTATAATTGTCCTTGCCTTAAAAGGACGTTGCCGCTGTAATTTCAATTTCCCTTGTTTCCAAGAGTTTCCTTGATCTCCGCTAAGTCTCCATTTAGCCACTGGGTCAGACTTTTTACCACGCTGTATGTAAACTGTCAAACGGCCCACGTGCTTTCCCCGCATGGAATATTTAAAAGACAAACATTTGTAGGCAGGCACTACAACTGGACTCTCAAGGCGGATACTGTCACCTTTTACGCGAGGATAAGACGACTCCAGGTGTATGTAAAAGTCTAGAAATGGGAATAAAAATTGGTTACATCTAGTGCAAAGTTGAACCTTTTTGCAGTGTTATGGTATGGAAAATACAGCCAATTACGTGTCGAACACAGAAGAGTCGTTTTAAAATAGATCGAATGCAGGGCTTACACGGCACCAGCTCTTAATCCGGTTTCTGAAGCATAAGGCGACCGGTCGGCTTGCTTCTCTCGTTGGATGGCACGTCACTGACTCTCTCGTACAAAACCCACAGTAAGTCGTCAGGTTTCCCTGATAACTTACCTATCACCATTTGTAATAATCTCCTGGTGTAGGAGAGGCACTTCGACTGTCCAGTGTCTCACAGCACTCGAGCGTGGACCTTTTGGCCCTAACATAAGTGTGTATATTCTCATGACCTTCACGTGCTATTAAGGACTGTGCTGTAAGGAGAATGATATGCTAATCACACCTAGATATTACAGAAAGGGTCAAGAGATCCACCATGATGACTGAAATGTGAAGGCAGCGAAACAAAACATTTAATAAGCAATAAAATACCTTTGCACGTGCGCTTTCAAAATCTGTGCATTTCCCACCCTCCCTCAGCAAAACTAAAACATAATATAACCAAAGTTTGCGTAGTCTGAGATCGAAATCCCTGACGAATTTAACATTGAATTCACGAAACGGGAGTTCTGGCGCCGTTAGGTATGTCAAAAACATTGAGCTACTCCTAAAATTGTTAGGAGAATTTTTTTTAAAGCAAGGTTTACCCAGGCGAAGTCGTCGGAAATTTAAACTCCCTTTTGATGAAAGTGAAACTCGAAGAACTTCACCCGTGACCAGTGCACTTACTATCAATATCTTTGCTGGGCGGTCCAGTCCCCTCACTAGGAACATTGCCCTTCCTTTTCGTCCAATTTCCTACTTTCCAAGAACAAGGTGAATCATCGAAGTCGCACACTTCTGAGAAAATAAGGTACAATGACTTCATGAGCCTAAGAAAGATTATTTATGGGAATGATTCATTGTGTTTGCAACTATAACAAAACAATTCAAAATGAATGGCCCACAGTGAAAGGAAAACGTGGTCAGAGTCTATGCGATATATTTTGATTGGAAACATGCCACCCCTTCTTGTCCATAACTTTTCAACACAACTCTCCTCATCTTTATTATCTGAATACATTCTATATACCGGTCAAGGTTCAGAAGGTTCCCACAAATCAAAGCGTTTGACTTTAAAGCTTCGTAATTTAAACAGATAGTGAAGTTATAAATATGTATCACTTACTAGCACCTTAAGAAAAATTTTGAAAAAGCTGTACCTAACATCGCACGCAGCTTTCTTTCAGCAAACTCTTCACCAATAGAACCTATCCACAAACTAAGATCAGACAGTTGAATATTCTCGACAGCCCACATCTGAGAGGATGACACGTTGCCCCAAGAAGACATACTGGCTAAATTTATAACTTTGGCAGAATTCGACTTATAAGCAGCAGAGCGGTGATGTTTATCTTGATCGACCTTCACGTTGTTTAAGTATATTAACGCTTCGTCGTTTTTCTTCAGCCGAAACGTAACCCGAGTCCAATCGATCGAGGTAAACGGCTCTTTTGTCTCCACATAACTATCGTTGGTGGAGTGATATTGTGCCTTCAGTGCCGTTGAAGATTTATTAATTAACATTCCAGTTTCATTAAATGGATATCTTCCCGAGGACATAATGGCGGTGTCTAAAGATTGAATTAAACAATTCACAGTTTTAAAAGTGATCAGTTTATACAAATTTCGACGAGTGATTATGGTATCTCATCTAATGCACTGATAAATTCGAACCTTAACCATCCCCCCCCCCAATCCGGGCAACCCATGCGCATTCCGGGGGGGTGGGGAATTTTAACTTTGCCTGGGTGAGATGGGGATTCAAACCGAACCTGTTAATTATTTCCATTTCTTGAGGTTTTTCAAGGCAAAAGGTTCTTTTTTGCGAGCAGATGGCTCAGGAAAAAGGTTTACAAGAAAGTCACGGTCGCTGATCTTGCTTTTTATAAAAAAAAAAAAAAAAAAAAAAAAAAAAAAACAGACGACCAAATCCGGCACTTGGGTAAGGCATTTGAACAAAATTTTACAACTAACCAATCTTCCAAAGTTCAAATGCCGCAAGGGTTGCTGGAGGGAAAGTTGAAGCGTCGAATTGATTGACGCATAAGTGCAAGAGTTAAGAAACAGTTCAACGCAGCTATGCGTATTAACTGGAGTATATGAAACGAAATAAATTTACCCAAGTTTATCGACCACAACTTGTTACCCATCATATATTTTAGTTCGTGTGCGATTGTTTTAAACACCCCAAGTGCCCGGAAATCCCCCAACTGAAACTCGGTAATGTCCGAAAATATTCCCCCAAATACCATTCCCCAATTTTCCCTTCTTAAATTAGAAACTTTTCAGCGCGGGAAAAAATTCAAAGGGGTAATGATAGATAACAACGATGCTCATAAATGGAGGAGATTAACTCAGATTGCCAATTTTTTGAAAATTTAGGGCTACTATCTTTTCAAACAAGTTAAGAAAACAAAACTGTAACGACAGCTATAGCACAGTTTCTAAAACTACTTACCTGTTCCTTTGAAAGATCTACAGCCACTAAGTTTAATTTTTAAACAGGT